TAACATCAACTTCTGATACCTTTGAAACAAGAGCCAAAGGACCTCCAATACTCTATTTTGATTCTTCATACATTTCTGAAACTTCACTTTCATGTGTTTTCAGCTGATTGTAGAGATCATTCAAGTGAGTTGTATCAAAACTCTGTTGATTCTTAATCATCATACTTACGCTTCACCATTCCTTGCGAAGTCCCATGATGAAAGTTAAATTGAACTCCAAGAGAGACCTAGTGATTCCATACCTATTGCAGTGAAACATAAGCTCATTCAGACGATCATAGTAATTTTCAAGAGTTTTAGCATCCTTTTGTCTGAATTCCTTCAGTTCAACTAGACATTGCATCACAGAGTTGATCTTCGTCTTTTCGCTACCCTGATACTTATCTTTTAAAGTGCTTCAGTTCTCCTTGGCTATTTTACAACTATGGATGTAATTGTAAACCACAGGAGGTAGAGCACCTCTTAGTTCCCTCATGCACCTCTTTTCATTATTCTTCAAATGTTTTCGTTATTCAGCAACTTCAGCAAATGTAGTTGATGGTCCAATTAATTGAACATTAGCAGGAGCTTGCACTGTTCCATCGATACAATTCCAAAGTTCTTCATCAATTCCATTTAAGTAATCCTCCATTCTATCAGCCCACTGATCATAGTATTCAGGAATTAACATCGGAATTTTAGTTGAGGAACCAAGCAAGTGAGAGAAAGAAGTCATTGTATTCATGTTGAAGTTCGCCATTGATGAACATAGAAATTTTCAGAAAGCTTGAAAAACTTGATGAATTTGAGAATTGATCACAAATCACTAATCGATTACTCGACTAAACAATTCCAAGACATAATCAATTCAAATCTGAAGATCAAATTTGATTTTCAAAAACCAAAATGCACGGAAAATTTTGATTAAAGTTACTACTCAAAAAGCAAATGATTCTAACATGAAAATCAGATCGATGCAGTTTGAATCCTGCTCTGATACCAATTGAAGAGAATTGTTATCAAGATTATGAAAGCAATTATGATTTGTGTGATTGAAACGTAAGAACACGAAGAGTAAATATTAATCAGATCTTATATTGATAAAGACTGATTACAAGCATAAGCAGAAAGGATATTTGAGTTCTCAAAAGTTACCATCTACTTCTATCCTCAGTCCCTATTTATAGGGAACCCGAGTGTACAAAAAGTATACTAAGTCTATTACAATACGCTTCGCATAAAACCGACTTAGTAAAATAACTAAAACTGTGAAACTAAACAAACACTCCTTTCGACTTTTACGATTTAACCTCTACATAAGCAAATAACAAAACAAGACTTGAAGCTATATTGCTCCCTCTTCTGAATTCCTAGCTCGAGTACATGTCTACTAGTTCCCTGAGAATACAAGTTATTTGAAAGAGTTGGTCAGCAATTAAGCTGGTGAGTTCATAAGATTTTAGTGATGTAAGTAAGTTTTACAAAGTTGTTGTAAAATGTAGTTGAAAAATGTGGTAAGTTATAAGTTATGTAAAGTGTAACTTAAGTTTAGAAAAGTTCGCTTGTTCCTCTAGAAAATCCTATATTTCCTACTTAGATGAAAGATACGTAAAAATGATTCTACAACCTTTCTATGAGTACTAAATGAATACAAGTTATATAAAACTCAGAGTAAACAAACAATCAACTGTGCACTTCTGCCCTAATTCCACAACCAAACAAGGAACAGGAAGTAAAGCGAATAGCACACATCCCATTGGTTGTTAGGTCCATGATATATATAATTCTTGGTGTATTCGCTTGTTACTCATGGAGTTAATTGTAATAGTTCCTTTATATTTTATGAAAGATTCTTTAAGAAAACCCTTATTTCTGATAGTAAAATAGTGACCACAATGATTACTTCTATAATTACTTAGTTTTTACAGGCTATATATGATCCAATATCGAATAGATAGTTAATTGGGTGCATCTGCCCTAAGCCCACAACCAAACAAGGAACAGGAACTAAGGTGGAAGGCACACATCCAACGACCTATTGGGTATTAATGATATATAACCATGATGTATAAACCAAGGTATTATAGAGTTAATCACCTAAAGTCCTTTAAGTCTACATTGGTTTAATAAAATGTATTAACCCCTTTACTGGGAAGTTTCTAGTTTTGTATACGGAAAGGTATGATTTGAAAACTATGCTTTGAATTAGTGTCCTATGACTTAACCCATACCTGGTACCCCTTATTATGATTTAATGTGTACAGAACATATATATATATATATATATATATATATATATATATATATATATATATAACACAAAAATCGAATAGATAATAAGTTGGATGAATCTGCTTTAAGCCCACAACCAAACAAGGAACAAGAAATAAAGTGGAAGGCACACATCCTCTTACCTGTAGAATACTATATATATATATATATATATATATATATATATATATATATATATATATATCCCTTAATGTGTACATTAGGGAATCATAAGGTTAGCATTATCATCATTTTCTACTGAATGTACTAGACTCGACTGTCCTGTTTGTCGTTTGTAAAGTGGAAGTACTGTAGTATTGTATAAAGTGATTACTATTGTACTAATTGCCTTAAATTGAGTAGTAAGGTATAATGTGATGGCTAGATCCCATACTAAACGCTCTCCCTGTCAAGAGATTCTGGGAACCAAAAGCGACCTCTACAATAATTGCAAGCCGTGAATATCCACATTAAAATTATATGATCATGTATACCTGATACAACTATCACCTTTTGTTTAGAAAAATGCATTAGTGATTCAATGGTATAGTTACATCCTGTAAGTGTTCCATGCTATAGCAAATTAGTATGTTCGTTCTGTTTTAGTAACTTAGTATCTTCGCTTATTATAGTATCTTAGTATGTTCCAACTGTTACCGCGTATTATACCTAGTATAAACTGAACCCCTAAACTATACCCATTATAGTTTACTAGTATTCTGCTTGAACTGTTATTGAAAAGACTCATTTTACTACCAAATTATGCTTGTACTTTAAGAACGGAGTTTTGTTAAACTATAAAGCAACATAACTGTAAAATAGTTTTTCAAATGTTTTGACCACTTATAGAAGACATAAGCAACATTTTGAATAATGTTTATAACAAATAATTACACAATTATCATTGTGTTCAGCTTGTATTCCCCCCTCAAAGCATTTAAAACAGTTAAAAGATTCATTACGGGGTATGAACTCACCTAATGTGGGTGATTCAAACGGGTATGCGTGTAAGGATGAGAAGTTCCACGAATGAAGTCCCGAGACATAACAAGTCCTAAATGACATATAATGACACATATTGGCATGAATATAGTGTTTATGAGAAACTATATGAAAGGAAACACCTTCCGGGACTAGGAAACACTTTGACCAAGTGCTGGAATCACATGTGACTCATCAAAGGAAGGTAGAATGACACCAACATGAGTTTACGGCCATGGGTTTACGGACCAAGGGATTTTACAACTGTAAACTCATGGTTACTCATATATAAGTGTTGCTTTGAAAGATTGGGAAGCTTTAGGGACTTTTGCTCTACACTAGGATGAGAAAGACCACCTTCATTGAGGCTTTTGATAAGTTTACGGCCCAAAGGAGTTTACAGTCGTAAACTTATGGTCATTTATGTTTATGAGAGTAGTTTAAGGTCCTACGATCATCAAGGAAGGGTTCTGGGTCACAAGCCTTGCATCTAGGAGGGTTGATGGCCATAATGGCACCCTTTAAGGGGTTTACGGCCATGGGAGATGGCGTTGCTGTAAACTCCTTTTTTCCCTTTGTTCTTGATGTTTTCAATTCTCTAAGCATTATTCCTAACTAGATATGAAGTATAGGGAAGAGCATTTACGATCTAGAAGCTTGAAAAGGTTGATATTGGCCAAGAACACTAGTGTGTGTTCTTGGTGTTCTTGGTGAAACATGAAGATCTAAACAAACATGATTTTCATGGATGAAATCAATGGATGAAGCTAGTTAATATGATGTATCAACTAATCAATGGATATAACACTTACACTTTTGAAGATTTAAGGTGGAATTTGGATGATAGTTGAGAGAGAATGAGGGAAAATTGGCCAAGGAAAGGAAAGAATGGAAGAAACAGCCAAGATATATATATATATATATATATATATATTATATATATATATATATATATATATATATATATAAAGAGAGAGAGAGAGAGAGGTGATTTTACGGCCCCCTTGAGTTTACGGCCGTAAAATCTTGATAACTTGGTCGTAAACTCCTCTTGATGGAGTTTAAGGTGTGCATGCTATACCGTGGCTCTAGTAGGTACTTCCTAACACTCATTCCTTAAGTTCATTAGGCTAAAACTCCTTATAATGACCTTTAACCGGGCTAGAACTCCGTACTATCGAGTTTGGAACTCAGTTGAGTTGATTGACTATGTCTTCAAAGAAAAAAAATCGGGTTGTCGCAGTACAAGCCTTGTACGACCAGCGTAAGGGCATAATTTTCAATTAATTAATATGTTAAGGGCTAAAAATGAAAATACCTGACAACGGGTGTTACATTATGGATGGTTTCTAGAGCATCTGGGGGCTATTTTACGAGAATTTTGGAG